TATAGAGAGAGAGAGAGAGAGAGAGAGAGAGAGAGAGAGAGAGAGAGAGTGTCTCCTATAGATATAGGAGAAGGACTCCTGTATCAAACCTCTCCCACCCACATCTCAGGGACCATTGCAGAAGAGGGGTGTGTAAGATTGTAAGAGCCAGGGTTGGTCCATGAATATAGGGAAGCAGAGGTTTTCGGGCCACTGGAAGCTTACACATGAGAACTTGTGGCAATAATGGCATTGAGCACAGGACCTATGCCAACTCAATCAGACAAGGGCCCAAGGGAAATGGGTGGTGGATCAGCCCTAATCTGATAACTATTGAAGACTGATTACTGCTGGGTGAGGGAGAGTAGGCCTTACCAACAATCTCTAGATAAGGCTGACTACAGTCCATTGGATGAATTTGCAACAAAGGACATCTGGGTTAAAATGCTTGACTGCATAGGACTTAACATGAATGGTGTACTATATGAGATCTGGTGGGGTGCATGGATGGGGGAAGGGTCTGAATTAAATAAGAACTGTTGTATGAAATGTACAAAAGCTCAATGAACATTTTTTAATTAAAAAAATTTTTAAAGTAAATTTTAAGGGTCTGGAGAGAACACTTACTATTCTTGCAGAGGACTCGGCCTTGATTCCCAGAAGTCACACGGCAGTTAACAACCATCTGTAACTCTTGTTTCAGGGTATCTGACCACCTCTTCTAACCTTTGCAGGCAATATATGACATGAATGAATAAAATAAATTATCAAAAAAGAGGAATATTGAGATTTCTTCCATAATTTTACATAATATCAGAAACTGTGGAACAATTCTTAGTGTTCTTTGAATAAAATAAAATTCTACAAATTATTTGCATCCAGTCAAGCTACCTAGAAGTAATAATATATAAATTATAAGAAAAACATCTTGTTGGTGGAAGCTAGCACACAGATGAATCAAAATAATGATTACCAAAGATTATGTATGTTTTAAAAACAAAGACTCTAAAATTTTAATGTAATTAAGTAAATTCAGAGGATGTTATTTCTCCTAATCTTTAACAACAAGGTAAATTAACATCATTTATGTTTGATGAAACTCATGTTTTTAATATAGACTTAAGAATAATTAATTTTACATGGCTATTACTATTTTTCAATTGAATTTTATTGAGGTATTTTATTAAGATATTTTGCAATTAAAAATTTCTATAAATTCAGCAACTGCTTTTTAAAACATACATAATCTTT